GTCGAAGTGTTTCGAGTTCCTAATTTAATATTAAAAGAAATTTTGCCCCCCCCCCGGCCGTTATATTGCCCTAGCTTCCTACGGGGAGGGGGGAATTGTGCCTCACAACCATAAGTTGTCAGACCTTCGACTTTTAGGAAAAGTTAATTTAAATTAAAACCGAAGATCTGACGGGATATAGTAAGAGGATAATATAATACACAATAATGAAAACAATGAAGATAAGACAGAATAATCATTAGCTACAACAATGAAAGACAATAAGAGATTCATCCAAAGAAATATAATATAATATCATGGTCACATATCATAACAAACAGCTCTTAGCGAAATCTTATTATTATTATATTAGTTGAAGAATGATGAAATATGACAGAAAAATAGAGCATTGTTTTTACTATCGCTGAATATTAAGAAAAAGTTTCCTCGAGCTTTCTATACGAAAATAAAGTACCTCAGCCACTACTTTTGGATTGTCCTAGATATTTCATACTTATAATTTTGCGTGCTTAAAAACTTGAGTACCATACTCCTCGATTAGATAAATATTCATTGAGGAGTCAAGTGCTATAAACTTTGGATGATACGAAAAGGTAAGTATTTGTATACCGCCATTGGCATAAAAACCGGCGCAATACATCATTATACGGCTATTAGCTTCATCGGTAACATACAAATTTTGATATTGATCCATAATTAAGCTTTGCGGAGTATTAAGTGTCGTTGGTGTTGAACCGGCTATATTAGAAGTACCAATAATAAATGTACCATTTGAAGCTCCAGGTACCCATTGTGAAACTGTGTGACCATATGGATTACAGGTATAAAGAAAGTTAGATACGGAATCATATGCGAGGCTGAGTGGAACATATAATTGATTTGTGGAATAACCACTGCCATTGCCACCCTGAAAAACAACAAAATAGAAGATAAAAACGACATCAAAAGTAAAACGGTAACAAGCGTTTCATTCATATGTGATGTACAATGATGTGTAAAAAGCTCTTCAGTTCAATGAGGAAACCTGTTTTATTTTTATAGTCTGAACAGACTCGTGTAAACACAAATCTGTAGCGCTTGCGCAAAAAGTTTTAAGAGAGTCGCCATGATTGCATCAAGCATTCGCGAAGGCTAAAGGATAAAAATATTTAACATATACTCCTTAAAATCTCATTCGATGCCTTCCAGGTCTCGTTTTGATAAAATTGACGCTTTCAAGGTTAGTATTTTTGACTCCTCGAAGTCAAGTTAAGTTTGATAATTCTGCATAGTAATTCACTCGATAGTCGAAAGAATGCCGCATTGAATGCTGTAATTGATATTCACAAAACGTTTATAGTGTACTTAAACAATTCAAATTTCAAAATGTTTTCCAATTTAAAGATACCTGACGTTTTCAGTAATTTATCTTAACTTTTAGAGACGCTTGAAGTTTAACAAAACAATTTCTATAGCGCATTTTATAGAGCTCATGACTGTACACATTAGGTGAGTCTATTTTAAAAACGTTTTGAATAGCGGAGAGAGGAACGTGGCGAAATCTGAAAAGTAAATCTAGCTAGTAAGTGAACAACAACAAAAAGTGAGACTTTAATTTTAAATTTTCATCATGAAGATGTATGTTTGAAGCAACATCTGGTATTCGGAATTACCATCGAAAACTGAGTCGAAAGATGCGCATGGTAATGCTTATCCGAATATAAATTTTTCCGAATTTTATTACATCTGATAGATATGGAGACTACGAATGAGATTATAAAAGGTGTATGTTCAACTTTTGTTCATGTTTCAGCTTTTGTAAACGCCAGAAAACCCATGCGGACTTGTCTTAACGTATATCTTACTATGTTCTTTCCCGGTCATGGAAGCAAATCTCAATCAGATTAAGCGGTTAAAATCTGCATAGTGAAACATTACTATACCGCTATTAATGTTCCATTTGTACCCATTGTTGAATTGACAGAAAATATTAAAACTCTACTATTCCAATTATCTGATACAAAAATATTACTTTCCGTTGAATCAAATGCAAGTGCATATGCAGAATTGAGTTGATTTAGCGACGCACCAGATACGCCTGTGATGCCCGCTATAACACCATAGTATGTTGCATTAAAATATTTGAAGACACGAAAATTACCAAAATCAGGTATATACATATACCCTTGTGAATCAATTATGGGTGCATTCGGACTAACGAGACCTGTCGATACAACCGATGTAGTTGCATATGGTGATGTAGAATTTAACGGTGATGTAGTTTTTAAAATAACACCACTGCTATCGGCAATATACAGAACATCATTTTTAATATATATACCATTTATAACATAGGTACGTGATACAACAAGTAATGCATCTGAGTTCCAATAACTACCTGTGATACCTGCGCAATTTAAATGAGGAAATGCAAAGTACTCGTCAGTCGACATCAACTGTTCTGTCGCCGTTTGTACACTTCAGCGTAAAACTCGTTTATCACACAAAAAAATACAGAAAACGCTCGGCTGCCGAGATGATCGAAAAGTTCCCACAACGAATTGTACATCGTTTGAAACGAATAAAACAGCCATTTAAATTACAAAGCAAAATTTCTTTTAATATTAAATTAGGAACTCGAAACACTTCGACTTTAGAAACAGAAACACCCGCAAACACGATTTAATTTAAAAAACGCTTGAGTCGTGCTTTTCTGATGTTTCTGTAGAAGTCTGATATCCTAAAAAGCACCCCCATTTTTCTGCGCATAGACATTGAGCCCCTCCCAATGAAATGCTGTTCCACATATATTAAAGAGAGATTTCGCCAGCCGATCGAGTATTGCAGCACAGAGCTATCACATGGTCAAAATTAGTGCATGCTTTTTATACCCTTATTCAAAAAATGCTAAGGTGCCCGTAATTCAAAACTTAAGCAAAATTTATTTTTGCGGTATTCATACATGGTTGGACAGAGCTCGTCGAGCTAAACAAGAATATGTAGGTAAGAATAGGTAGGCAGCACCATCTTCAGTATTTTTAAGTTTTTAAGGTACAGTTTTAGAGCAATACCTCGTTGGAGAGAACACCAAAACCGAGCAGCGTGGCTCATTTGAAATTACTCGTATGCTCTATTTTGATATAAAAATATTGGACTTTTTGAAATTTTCTAGTTCTTGAAAATCGACCGAACTCACATGAAAAGTTATTTTTCATCCAAAATGAGTTCTGCTGAGATTTCAGTAGGAATTTCAATTCTCTTTAAAGCTGGAGCCGAAATTGTGAAAAAGAGTGTTAGAACAGCTCAAAATTTGGGAAAGAAATGTACTCAACAGTCGAAAATGTATAGGGTGGATCTATAGCCATTTACAGAAGTGTCAATAAGATGCTATTGCCACGTTCAGAAGTGTCATTAAAAAGTAATTGCCACTTTTTGAAAGTGTCAACTAGAAACTATTATCACTTCCGAATGTGGTAGCTGTTGCTATGTCTAGGAAGTGTCAATAAGTTGCTATTGCCATTTTCTATTGAAAGTTAACGTTTAAACGAGTTTGTTAGTAGACCAATTGCCAGATGGTATTGTAGATCAACATGAGAAGAATATACCAACAAGACAACAACATGAATAGCTTCTAGTTGACCCTTTCAAAAAGTGGCAATTACTTTTTAGTGACACTTCTGAACGTGGCAATAGCATCTTATTGACACTTCTGTAAATGGCTATAGATCCACCCTATACATTTTCGACTGTTGAGTATATTTCTTTCCCAAATTTTGACCAACGCAAAAACGATATAATATTTGGAATTAGCCTGTAAGACATGTCATTCTTAACCGTCTCTTTCACGAACTTCTTCGCGTTCTTATCTTTTTATACTCTGGTTTACATGCGATTACATATCGTTTTCATGTTCTATCTTGTCAAGGAGCATAAATGTTTTCATCTTATATGTCATATTATGTTAAACAAATGAAAAATTCTTTATATGTTTTTTTTTCTGGGGGAACCTTTTTGTGCATCTGCTGGATCCTTAACATATTTTTTATTGATTTACCTACTGCAGTTGCATTTGGAAATATTCTGAGACACGCTAGAAATTTTATGTCACATATATTTGATTAAGAAGGAAAGCGAAGTGAAACTTTGTCTGTCTTATTTCTTCTCTTAATCGTACTAACTTCCGATCACTAGTGAAGTAAAATATTAACAATGACTCTTTTAAATAACAGAGCTCTGTTCCGAGTTTTGATTCTTACAAGAGAATTTCGCGATCTATGTTCAAAGATATCATTTTCAATTAACAACATACAGAAATTCAATTTTTGCACATGTAACAAAAATCAACAGCATGCGGTTTAGATGGTTCACAAACTTGATAATGTTTGATTGAATGTTTGTGGAAAGAGTAAATACGAGAGTAAAATGAATGATTCAATGAAATGAAAGGTGACAGAGTGCCTTAAAGATCTGCCCCATTTACGATCGATTACAATTGAGTTCAAAGTATAGTGATCATGAAATCCGAGTCCTGGCAACGAAAAGCACTCTTTCAGAACAAAGTCCCGATTTTCGACTTACCAAAAATTTACCGATTATTCAGTTGAAATCGATTTCTTCGAAAAATATACTCGTTTCGTTAGAAAGATCGATGACTACGCCTGTTTATTGTCAGCTTTCTCCGCCATCTACCGGGTAATTCAATATAAACGTGAGTGTGCGAATAAGTACTAAAAAATAATAGCAAAATAGACTACAGCCATATACATGATATTTTGTTGAGAGATGGGAATTAAAGGTGTAATCTGGTATCATCACCGAAATAACACAAACTTTTCAAACGGCAATGTAAATGTCCGGAAGAAAAAAAGCCCTCTTAAACAACCTTCTAAAATTGAAGAGATCAAGATAGACCAATAAAAAACATTCGACTAAAGTACCCGCAGTTACTACAATATCATATAATACTGTCTATTAACCGGACAATATTGTCGAAGTGAGTCAACAAATCAAGACACCTTGGCGATGTTGAGTGATGATAATTTTAACAGCATTTATTTGTCTTGTCCGGTTTGTCATAGTGGACACCAGAAGATTGAACATTTTATCAAACAGGAAATACAAAACGAGTTTCCAGACATGTCCTCGTTAAAAAGAAATTGAAAATAAGAGAAGGTTTTTATTTTAAAAAAGCTGATGTTGAAAGAAACATTAAGAATGACAAAACTGATTTTCTACAATCAGATTATTACTCAGCAACAGTTCATTATTTTCGATTTCAATATTTGTTCGGTTCATTGAAATCTTGGCCCCCGTCCAAATAACAGTACTGTATTCTGTTGCTGAATTCAGCCACTAGTGGATTGGTGAAGATAGTGACTTGGTCTTGAAAAGGATTTGTAACGGCATCGTGACCGTTACACTCAGGTAGGGAGAAATCGTGATGGCAACAATGAAATACTGCTTTGAAATCAAGAATCTGTTTGAATATTACTTAAAACGTCCGCCACGAACTAATTTTTTGAACACCTGCCTTCTAGTCTTGGGCTTTCTAATTGAGGACCTGCAGAATTTTTGCGTAGCAGAATTTAGACTTCAAAAGCAAACTCTTGGTAAAATACTACTCATCCACCACATGGTCCCATATACCTAAACACATAAAAGTACATTTCGTTTTTTACATGTAATAAACAATATTACTTTGACGATATTTCAGGAACAGATTTTAATTCTAAATTAACATGTTCGCCGTTGGATTTGGATAGCGACCGCTCAATGATTGAACTTATTTCGGAATTTTTCTATTGATAAAAATATAAATTTCTGCTAGCAGCATGTGTTTTGTCACTAGCGGATATTACATAAAAATATAAGATCATCTTCACTTACCTGTATTATGTGTGTGGAACTCTTTTAGATCATCTATATGTGCCCGTGTACATATGAATATTTACAATTAGATATTGGCGATATTTGTGAAGTGCAAATATCAGGACTGTTAAATAGGAAAATGATCATTTTTCGAGCTTTACTCTGCTTTTTGGATCACTGCTTTGACCCTTTTTGTCATTTAATAACTTCAGATGGTTTTCTTTGGAACTCAAAGCTAAAAAGTATAGTTATATACCTGTATCGGTGATTGAACACTGGATGATTGCGGTCGTCGTTGAACAGGTTGTAGAAATTCGCCAACTGTTGGCATATTGTAAGGTGAAAAAAGAAGTTTAAATAAATCACGTTTCCTCTGCTCTTCTAAAAATGAAATTTTCTGTTATTAAGCTTAGAAATAAAAATATTATTGTTATCCTCTCCAACCTATTAAAAATGAATTCAAAGGGGAAAAAACCAAGAATATTGATTGACCACCAACAAAAGATGTATCTTGACTACGTAAATTATGGTTCTCTCCCTTTTGAATTCACTTGATCATTAGCTATGAAATAAACAAACAAAAACCCATCTATTACCTGCGGATAAATAAATAGTAGAGAAAGAGTAAGAGCGAAAAGAAGTGTAATTTTAATAGGTTGGAGAGGATAACAATAATATTTTTATTTCTAAGCTTAATAACAGAAAATTTCCCTTTAAGTTACAACTTCAAAAGAATACTAAACAAGTTTTAACTATATTAACGATAGCTTCTTCTGCTTCTTTACTTCAAAACCAAAGCAGAGGAAACGTGATTTATTTAAACTTCTTTTTTCACCTTACAATATGCCAACAGTTGGCGAATTTCTACAACCTGTTCAACGACGACCGCAATCATCCAGTGTTCAATCACCGATACAGGTAAACAACTCATTTCATTATTGACCAAATCATTAGAAAATAGTGAAAGATAGAAAAACAAAATAATAAAATTATTGTATCACAAACAAGAATAGAAAATATGATAAAGTTATTATTTATTAATCAAAAGAAAATTCAAAAAAGCATTGAGTAAAGCTCGAAAAAATGATCATTTTCCTATTTAACAGTCCTGATATTTGCACTTCA